GTTGGGTGAGGAGGGGGAAAAGAAAGAAAAAATGGAGGGAGGGGTTAGATTGAAAGATGGAAGTAGCATTTAAAATGAAACTAAAATTAAAATTAAACTAAGTAAAAAAGTAAGAGAGAGAGAGAGAGAGAGAGAGAGAGATAAAGAAAAAATTAAAATGAAAAAAAAATTATATTTCAAATTAAATTAGCACGTGTCACATAATGATTGGTGGGTGATAACACTTGCTTTTTAAAATCTGGGACTAGTCGAAAAATGGTGTAATAATATAAGTTCGAAATTGTTTAGGAGGGGTAATAAGACACTCGCATAGTTAAAATGCCTTTTTGAAAATTTGTGACACCTTCCGGTGTCATTTTATGTCTTTTCTCAAAATAGAGTAATACAACAGACCCACTAATTTAAATAAACACCAACCCCATAATCACAACCCTAGAAATTGGAGTTTTAGCCACCCATGACAAAAAAAAACAGAGATTATACAAACCATAATAGTAGCCATTGATGCAATGAAATTAAGCAATGATAATCAACTCCCACCTTGGATTCAACTTCCAATTGTTGGTTACAAGAGCAAAATGGAAAACCCCACCTCTAAGAGCAATACTCAATAGTTTCTCTTTCTAAGAGTTCCAAAAGTAAAATTGATAAAAGATAAGATAGATCTATTTTCTCTCACTTCCCAACTATTCATACTTTCAAAAAAGATTCTTCCACACTCACTCAACGGATCACCGTTTGTATCATTAGTCAGGCTCGCCGAACTGACTCGAAGGATCACCATTTGTATCATTAAGCTCGCCTTTTACTAGCTTCTGGTGTTTGAACTCAAATGGGCAAACTCGATGGAATACACCATTCATGCTCAATGAATCACCGAATATCACCTTGTGCGCCTAAGATAACCTTCAATTTTACTCTTCAGTCTATCACTTTCGGCGATACATTTGGGTTTTCCATTAGTAATTTGGTGGATCGCCGATACAACTCTTCTTCGCCAATCTACTTTGAAACTTGGACTTTAAACACTGTCCACTTTGGTGAGATTCAACCATTTGGGCTATTCTCCCTTTCGATTAGGCGAACATCAGGTTAGGGCTTTCTACTCTTTTCAATGTTTTTGGCCTTTCTTTCAAATATTCGTCCTTGCCTTGTCATTTAGCCTTCATAGCTGTAAATAATCGACATAACAATTAACATTCTCACATTACATACTTTGGAAACTAACAAACCATGACCTACCTCGAATCAAGCCTTGAAAACTTTAAAGAATCCTAGCTTACCATTTTTAAATTACCTTGGCTTGTTCTTGGTCTAAATAATAATGAAAACGAAATAATCAATCAATAATGGTCTAACAATACCCATATTATAACCAAATCCTTAACCCCGGAAAAATTCATGATCATTCTACCCCACATGGGTTTTTTCCATCATTAATGCAAGTTTAAAACCCACTACTAAAAAACTGCCAAAAAATGATGGACAGAAAAGCGACGGACTGCGTCGCTCCAAAAAGTGACGCCATTTGCCACATTGTCCGTTGATTTTTAATAAAAATAATTATTTTTAAAATTATTTTACAAAAAGCGACGGACGACATCTCTTAGTCCGTTGCTTTTTTTGCTGATTTTTGCGCTAAATATATATATAATTAATAATTATTTATTTAATATATATAGAGACGCTGTTCGTCGCTTTTTAATAAAAATAATTTATTTATAAATTAAAAAATAACCACGTTGTCCGTCGTTTTTAATTATTTATTTTATTAATTAGTTTTTAAAAAAGGGACGGACGACATCTCTTAGTCCGTCGCTTTTTGGTCAAAATATCCAATCAAACATTTTTAAAAAGCGACGGACAGTGTCTCTTAGTCTGTCGCTTTTTAGTCAAAATTTTGGTCAAACATTTTTAAAAAAGCGACGGACAAAGAGACGTTGTCCGTCACTTTTTTTAAATTATGTTGAACCAAAAAACGGGTTTTTCCCCCATTTTCCTATCTCTCTTCTCTCTAAAACCAAACTGTTGCGCCACCGCCGCTGCCCCACGCCACCCCACACCGCCGTCGCCCTTCTCTCCTTGAGCATTAGTCCCGTTGCTGCCTTGCCCCATCGGTGCCGTCACCCGTCATCCCCACTGCTAGGGCTGGGCATTCGGTATTTCGGTTCGGTTTCGATTTTTTTTCCGGTTTTTTTGGTTTTTGGTTCTTGGACAACGTGTATCGAACACCGAACCGAAATAATTCGGTTCGGTTTGGTTTTTATTATTTCGGTTCGGTTTTTTTGTTATGGGCCTTCTTAGTGGGCTTTTAAAAATTTTGTAATTTTTTTGTTTATTTTATTTATATTTATTTCTTTTTGCTTATTTTACTCTGTTTTTTTAAATTATTGTATGATTCAAAGTAGTACTAACTACTAAACTGCGTTATCATTGAAATTTGCCCTTGTTAATAAATTATAATTAAAATACTACTAAAAGTCTAAAAGCCAATAAATTATAAATTTAAATTAAATACTACTAAAAAAGCCTTATGAGTAGTTTCAACTTCCAAGTTCCACACTTGTCGTTATCATTGTTCCTTTTTTTCTTTCAGAAAGCTCCACACAATTACACAAATAGGCAACGAGCTGTGATACAATTCTCTTTAACATTATTATAAAATACCATAATTTTACTCAATGAATGTAGGACAACTCAATTAAACTATCAACCTTTAATTTCTTGAATACAAGGAAACATTTAAATCCATTTTTATCCCCCTCAAAAATCAAATCAAAATGAAAGAATCCTCAGAATAATACAAAATGATGTGACAATTTTAGGCCAAAAAGGCACTATCAAATAGGCGAAAAGGCACTAACAAGTAACAAGTAACCGTTTAACAAGTAATTAAATTCACTACACTTCACAAATACAATAATCAATTGATCAATGCCATTACACAACAAGCATAATAACAATCTAACAAGTAACAATAAATGCACCAATGTAGTTTTCATGAGACCACTTTCAAGTTTCAATTGCCAACAATAACAAACAACAATAATGAGCAACTTTAACATTATTATAAAATACCATAGTTTTACTCAATGAATGTAGGGCAACTCAATTAAACTATCAACCTTTAATTTCCTAAGGAAACATTTAAATCCATTTTTATTCCCCTCAAAAATCGAATCAAAATGAATGAATCCTTAGAATAATACGAAATGATGTGGCAGTTTTAGGCCAAAAAGGCACTATCAAATAGGCCAAAAGGCACTAACAAGTAACAAGTAACAATTTAACAAGTAAATAAACTTCACTACATTTCACAAATACAATAATCAATTGATCATGCCATTACACAACAACACAATAACAATCTAACAAGTAACAATAATGCACCAATGTAGTTTTCATGAGACCACTTTCAAGTTTCAAGTGCCAACAATAACAAATAACAATAATGAGAAACAATGTAGTTTCTTGACTTTCTTCCATGAGACCACTTTCAAGTCTCAAGTGCCAACAAAATTACCAAAACACTAAAAAAACTTGGTACTTTACACCTTTCTTCATTGTCTTGACTCTTGGACCTTTTAAAATAAAATTAAATGTTAGACTACTACTTTTAAGATTAAAAAAATGATATGATTAAATAAATGACGTATTAAACTCACCACTATTAAATACTTGAGACTTGTAAGCCAATCATAGATCAACAATGAAAGATTTTCTTCCACTATTTGCCATCTCTATAAATAAGATTGCCACACTCGACATAGGAATAGCCAATACATCTCGAGTCAATTGTGAAAGCATAGGAAATCTAGGAGAATTAACTTTCCACCAAATCAAAATATCAAAATCCTCAGATTTAGGCTCTTGGTCTTCAAGAAGATATCTATCCAACTCAGATTTAACACCTAAACTTCCAGAATCTTTCCTTTTGTTTCTTCATGTAAAACTTAGTTCTCAAAGAATTTGTTTTCACATTTTGAGAAAGACCATAAGTAGATGAATCAGACGAGTTAGATGAAGATGATTTTTTTAGAACCTTTTGCATACTTACTTACATAGATCGCAAACAAATTCTTTAAGTAAGCATTTACTTCATTATTCACTATCTGTCCCTTTTCTTCCCCAAGTAATTCTTCAAGAGCAAAACTAACATACATAAATTTATTGCGAGGATCCAAAACAGAAGCAATAAAAAGCATTTTGTTCATCTTTTCAGGAGTACCCCAATATTTCTCGAACTTTTCTTTCATCCCCAATCCTCAAAATGAACATTACAAGTAACATACCGTGAACCTGAAACTTTCAATGTGAGCTCATAAATTTTTTCAAGAAATTTTGTGATATTCCTCACATTAGCCCAATCCTCATATTGAATTGAACCTGCAATACTTCCATCTTCACAAACATCAGTAGCAAGAAAGGAATTAAAATTACCATCATAAAGATCAAACCTCTCAAAAGCCTTTTCAAACTTTTCTGTCGTGTCCAACATCAAATAGGTGAAATTCCACCTAGTATGCACATCTAAAGACAACATTTTATCACATTCTATCTTTTGCATTTCAACACATTTCAAGAAGTTTCTTGTCCTTGTAGAAGATGATCTAACATATTTCACCATTTGTCTCACCCGTTTGATAGAAAGACCAATATCTTTCAAACCATCTTGCACAATTAAATTAAGTATGTGAGCCATACATCTCACATGGAGATGCTTACCTTCCATTATATTAGTTCCCCACATATCTAATTTTTTGGACAACTCTAAAACTGCCACATCATTTGAAGAGGCATTATCAACCGTAACAGTAAAGACATTGTCCAAGTTCCAATCAAGTAAACAATTACTAATACACTCAACCAAATGCTCACCTTTATGACTAGTGATAGGACAAAAAATTCAATATTCTTTTATGAAGCACCCAATCCCTATCAATAAAGTGAGCAGTCAAACACATATAATTGATTCTTTACACCAAGGTCCATGTGTCTGTTGTGAGACAAATTCTTGGTTGTATTTCTCTAAAAGACATTTTCAAATTCATTCTCAATTCACCATAAACTTCATAAGAATCCCTTGTTATGGTTCTACGAGAAGGAATCCGAAACAAAGGTTGCACTTTACTCATAAACTTCTTAAAGCCTTCTTTTTCAACAAAACTAAAAGGTAGTTCATCCAAAATTATCATCTCAACTAAAGCTCTCCTACATACCTCTTGCTCAAATTTCCAAGTCTCTATCGAATAACTGTTACTTTGAATATTTAACAATTTTTGAATGCCAGGTGCAACAGGCGGGGGCTTATACACTTTACATCGGTTAGTCAAATGTTGTTTCAGTCCACTTGTTCCATTTCTAGATGTATTAGCAGCATAGTTTTGTTTACAATGTAAACACTTTGCTTTAACTAATAAACCATTTTTGAAATTTTTTTCAAAGTGTTGCCAAACAGTAGACCTAGGATCCATTTCTTTTCTTTTTCTTGTTTTCTCTGTGCCAATTCAGGCATCATTGCTATTAGTAGGTGTATTATCCGTAGAACCAACCATACTTATTCGACTTTGATCAGCCACACCCACATTTGATTGATTTTGTTCAGCCATCTATATAATAAAACAATTATTTCACAATGAATTCACACTTAGAATATTAAGGAGCAAATAAGGAAAAGAAAATGATAATTGGCTGCATTTTTTCATGGTTTCTTTTTCTTTATTACTTTTGCTCTTTTTTTTTGGTCTGAGATTTGACCCTTTGCTGGAAAATATAATTATACAAATGAGCAAATCAAAATAAAAAAATAGAGTTTAAATATAAAAATTAAAAAATATACGAATCTGAAATCTTTATTAGTTTATTTTAATGGATAGACCAAAATCCAAATGCTAAATATTCTCCAGTAATTGACTAAATGCAGGTCAAAAACTTAAAATTATTTTTATATATTTAGAAGAAAAAAAAAACTGAAAGCTGATGGTTGTCGCCTGCCGGTCGTCGGCTGTTGCACGGAGAGGTCGGCTACTGTGCGTGCTGCTGCCTGCGCCCTGCTGGTCGATTGGGACTGGTGGCTGGCGGCTTCTACTGATGTGCGTGCTGCTGGTCGACGGGACTGGCGGCTGCTGTTGGTTGATGCCAGTCGCCAGAAGCGGAACTGTGCCAAAGTGGGAAAGACGAGGGAACTCGGAAGTCGGAAGTGGAACTGTGCAACGTGCGTAGTGATAGTACTTAAGAAGAAGTGCGGATGTTGTTAGAAGTTAGAAAGTTAGAAAAGTAAAAACTAAAAAATTTGAAAAGACCAAAAGCCAAAAGGTGTACTACTGTAGTAAGACTTTTGACCTAATTTAATTAAAATTATAATATTTATAATTTAATATAATATATTTCGGTAAACCAAAGTACCGAATAACACAAAAATCACATACCGAAAATCGAACCGAAATACCGAAAAATACAAAAACATACACCGAATACCGAACCGAAAACTGAAATACCAAAACCAAAATACCGAAATAGTTCGGTTCGGTTCGGTATTTCGGTTTTACGGTGTTTTTTCCCAGCCCTACCCACTGCCTCTTTTCCTTAGCTTGTTAAGGTTAGGGTTTAATTTTTTTTTCAATTCCAGTAATATTTGATTTGTTATAAATTAGTATATTGTTTTAGTTTGATGAATTGTGTTATTCAATTTTTAATTTGTATATTTGATTATTGTTAGTTAGGTAGAGAATTAGGAATTTTTTATTTTAGGGTTTTCTTCTAAATTGGGTTTTTTTTTAAATATGATTGTGAATTGAGTATTAGAAGATAGAACTAACAAATAATTAGAAGTTAGAAGTTAGATTAGTTGCATCTTTCAACTTTGAAATTCTTGAATTTAGTATGTTTGACGGTTGAAGTTAGAAAAACATTCAATTGTATATGAAAGTTAGATTACTTTGAAGTTAGAAAAATATTGGATAGTATATGAAAGTTGAAATTAGATTAGTTGAATTTTCCAACTTAGAAGTTCTTGAATTTAGTAAGTTTGAAAGTTGAAGTTAGAAAAATTGGGAATTTTTAAATATGATTGTAAATTAAGTATTAGAAGTTAAAACTAACAAATAATTAGAAGCTAGCTAGAAGTTAGATATTAGTTGAATTTTTCAACTTGCCATTGTATTTGTGCTTATATGTATTATATTGTTGTTGAAAATTGGGTTACTTGAATTATATTCTTGCACTTAGAAATTCTTGAACTTGGAAATTCTAGAACTTAGAAATTCTACAAATTAGAGATGAACTTGAATTTTTGTAGGATTTTAGAACTTAATAAGGTTGTGAACGTTAAGAATCTTGAATTATTGTAGAATTTAGATTTTAGAACTTTAGGTTGTGAATTTTAGAAATCTTGAATTATTTTCGGATTTTAGAACTTTAGGTTGTGAATTTTAGAAATCTTGAATTATTGTGGTATTTTAGAACTTTAAGTTGTGAACTTTAGAATCTTGAATTATTGTAGGATTTTAAACTTTAGGTTGTGTTAGAAATCTTGAATTATTGTAGGATTTTAGAAATCTAGGTTGTGAACTTTAGAAATCTTGAATTATTGTGAGATTTTATAACTTTAAGTTGTGAACTTTAGATATCTTGAATTATTGTAGGATTTTAGAACTTTAAGTTGTGAACTTTAGAGAACTTGAATTTTTGTAGGTTTTTAGAACTTCAGGTTGTGAAACGTTAGAAATCTTGAATTATTGTAAAATTTTAGAACTTTAGGTTGTGAACTTCAGAAATCTTGAATTATTGTGGGATTTTAGAACTTTAAGTTGTGAACTTTAGAATCTTGAATTATTGTAGGATTTTAAACATTAGGTTGTGAACTTTAGAAATCTTGATTTATAGAATTTATGAACTAATTATTAGGTTGAACTTTAGAAATCTTGATAAATTATAGTCTTTATAAACTATTTGTAATTTTGAAACAAATTTTGAAATATTTTATAAGTCTTTAAATCACAATTTTTGTATGTTAATTTAAGTTTGTTGTTTTATATTTTGTGTAGCTTCTTTATAATGTTTTGTGTTTGATTGGGGCTGAATTGAATTGAATTGCTTTTGCAGGTGGGCAGCAGTGCCAGTTTCTGCTGTCAAAAAAATTGTAGAAAAAGCGACGGACAAAGTGGTTTTGTCCGTCGCTTTTCTGAATTTTATTTTTAAAAATACCTAGAAAAGCGACGGACAGGGTCCTTTAGTTCGTCGCTTTTCTGGATTTTTCAAATTTTTATTTCCAAAAAAGTGACGGACGGTGTCTCATTGTCCGTCGCTTTTCAAGATTCTAAAAAAATTAAAAATTAATTAAAGCAACGAACTTCGTCTCTTTTTAAAAATAAAATAAAAATAAAAAAAGCGACGGACGGTGTCGCATTCTTCAAAAAAAATAATTAAAAATAAATAAATAAAAACGACGCAGTCCGTCGCTTTTGGAAAAGCGTCGAGCCAAAAATCAACGAGATTGATTGCGTCACTTTACTGTCGATTTTGGCCAAAAAAGCGACGCAGTCTGTCGATTTTTTCCGTCTCTTTTTTACAATTTTTTAGTAGTGACCCTCCCCCAAGGCCAAGAGTAACCCTCTAGATTCTAAAACTTAACAATCAATTTACAAGTTAAGAGAGTAATTCACATACCTATGTCAAAGAAATTAACGAAAAAACTGTAAAAAAAAA